CCTATTACCTGCAAAAGTTAAAAAACTAAAAAATATTTCATGTGAATCCTCCCACAACTTTTCAAGAGTTGGGGTTTGCGGCTGCCGCCGTCGGCAATTGTTGCCGAAGGCAGCACTAGACCTGGGGTGGGGTGGGCAGGGTAGGTAGTTGGGTTCAAATTAGATTTATTTTTGTATGAGAATTCGACTAGCTTTGACTATATGTTATTTATAAATGCATGTATGATGGTTTATTTTTGAAAAATCTTCCATTCATAGCAAATTAAATATATTAATGATCAACATTGTGCGTTGAAAACGTGAAAATGGAAATGTTACAACTAAAATAAAACAGATGAATTTTTTGCCCATCCATGCTCATTCCTCCACCGCCAGAATGATTTTTCTAATTTCTTTGGAAAAACACCACAATAAGTGTTTTTGAAAAATTTATCAATAGTGACACTGGCACTAATTGGTGATGACATACTCCCTCCCCCAACTCACAATCTTCACCTAACTTTTTTAGTCGTTCAAAAAACTTTTCAGATTGCATTTAAAATAATAAACATGTGATTCTGCATAAATCTCAACCACACGGTTTTTACATTATTATTCCACATGCAAGTCATTTGTTTTACGGACGAAGGAAGTAACTAACACTGGCATTCACAACTTTCGAATTATATTTCTTTGGTAGTCGGTTTTTTGTCCATGCTTTTTTGGAATTGGACTTCAACATAACAGGAGTAATATTTCATGAAAACACTCCATACTATTTATGCAGTGCGTATAAAAATACAGTACACGGCAGTCATTTACAGGTTACAACAACAAAAATTACTATGTGCGTCTCTTAGCCATGCCAAGGACAGACTGGTCTTACTTTAGGCAGCGTTACCATACGTGTAATTTCAACTCTGTATTTAGTGCCACCTTAATCGTTTGATTCGATGCCAAGAGAGGTCTTCAACTCCCTGACAATGTGAGGTAATGTCTTTGAGAAGTGTTGAACCGACACCTCCAAACATGATTCCATGACCTTCAAGGCATCATCTTCCTTATGTTCTGCACCTAGAAATTTTTCTTGGCAAACCATCAACGCCATTCTCATGTTTTCCTGTACACAAAAACAGTACCTAAATTATAAGCCAGAGCATTTAAAATAGAGCTTCAGAACTCCAGCAGATATATCCAACAGGCTAATAGCGAATCGCTGATGAATAAGATGTATATCAGTGTAGATATAAGCAAGGCCATTTGGTAACCATATTACTCTTTCCGTCCCACAAAACTTGATCACCTTTCCTGATTTTGATGTCCCAAAATATTTCATTTCCTTTTAAAAGTAACAACTTTGTGCTTAATGCTATTTCTAGTATTTCACTTCGGCCAACTCTTATGGGACAGATAGATACAAGTTCGTGAAGTTTTTTATCAGAAATTCAAACGCCTCATTCTTTTAGTTTTATTCACAAAAATCATTCCTTTCTGTCAAAAAACATATCCAAAAAACATAGAAATGTGTAGTTTTAAAAATATATTTAGTTGTGAAAACATTAAGATGATTTTTCTAAACAAATGAGTAAGGTTTTATTAGTGTGTAACAAAACTTGATGACAGAGCTAAATAGCTAATAATACTGAGTACGGACTCCTTTTAGACTGGAACAGTAACTAGATTGACAGATAGAATACAGAAAATGGAGTCAAAACTTGAGTTTATTGACTCCATTGGGTTGAAGATGGTCTAGGAACTAGACATAGCAAAATGGCTGGATAGAACTATTTCCTATTGGACGCCCAAACATAGAAAATCATGATCACAAAATTGAACACTGCACACAGGAAACTTAATCTGATAGAAAAATTAGAACCAGGATCTTGCACTCTAGTAGAAAATGGATCATCGACCAGTAGCACTAGGATCATGTGAACTAGTTTGGATGGAGCATCATTTTGTGTTTCTACCTCTCATCTATTTTAATGACTTAAATACGAAGTACATTTTTAGTCCATGAAAATATGCCACGTTTTTTAGATCATTGCAACATATTTTTTTTTGTTTTTCATCACTGTAATATGCACTATTTTGTTTTTAGTCCATCTCTAATTCCAAGACCACTCCATTTATTTAGAAATAAATAAATGGAGTGGACTAAAAAGTACGGAGTATATTTTAACGACCTTCTAAAAAAATTACATAGTTTTGAATGACATGAAAAACAATGGGTGAGAACATTTAAGGAAGGTAAAAAAAGAAAAGCAAGGTAAAATGCGCCAAAATTTGATTTTCCAAGGACGTAAAACAAAATGCACATTTAAGCTTAATGTGAACTAAAAACCAATATAGACAGACATAATTTAACTGATAATATAGTTATATCTAGACTAAACTAATAGATAAAGACAAATTAGTAAAACAAAACCCAATCCTTCCTGTACAATACAAAATTCCTGAACCAAACAAGTTTTAAGTGTCAAATGAGCTTTATCTCGTCATGATTGGAGGCAAACTACGGTGAATGAAATGGAGGCTCTTCATTCCTGTGGACGCGGTTTATTCCTTTACCTCATCGTGAAAAATTGTTGGTTAGAGTCTAAGTTAGAGGTGGCTAGAGAATGTTAATGTTGGCCCAAACGTGTAGGTAGGTAAGCTCTTTAAAGCTCGACTCATTTCCAACTGAGCATCCACAGTTTTTGGCATCAACTACACCTAGGGGCGGAGCCAAGTGGGGGTCAGGGTGGTCATCCGACCTCGCTGAAAGTTTGAGAGTATAGAGCTCTGAAATATCTTCGATTTGATATATTATAGCTCCCGTAACTCATTACGAGTAAAAAGTTATGACTTTTGGAAAATCAGCACTATCTTAACGTAAAATCGGCAAAATTTGATACATACTACCTCCGGTTTTTTTTAATCTTCACAGTTTGACTTCACACAAAATAAGGAAAGAAATTTGACTTTACTGTAGAGTACACTGTTGAGACACTGTTTGGCACTGTAGAGACACTGTTTGGCACTGTTGAGACACTGTTTGGCACTGTTTGGCACTGTTTTGATGTAGATTTCTTTGCCAAAAAAGGAAATAAGGAAGTGTGAAGTTTATTTTAGACCGTCCCAAAAAGGAAAGTGTGAAGTTTATTAAAAACCGGAGGGAGTACTATAAATTATTTTCCCAAATTTTAAAAGTAGGGTATAATTCACACGATACTTACGTGACACGACTCAGAAACAGATCAAATACAATCTATCTTATTGCTACGAGTGCCTATTTATCTAAACTGCGTATGAAATATTCAACTCGGGCGTTGTTTAAAAACGATCCACCATTTTAATTTTGTATATATGTTGAGTTTCGACCCACCTGAGCCGTTTTTCTGACTACACACACCTACTTTTCTCCCAATAGCGTTAAATTCCTCTGTTCAGATAGTCTTATGTGGATAGCTAAGTGTAATTGACCACCATATCACGTGAATAACAGGAATAGCTTTTTGCACGGGAATATTAAGAAAGAACTGTACATGGAGGAATAAGATTTCTCTCTAACTGCCCATAGGCAAAACCTGTCCCAGAATCTTTAAGTAGATAGATAGCAAAGCAACATTATGTGAAGTCTCTCCTACTCTCCTTCCATTTCCTATGTTTTTATATCAAACTCTTTCTAGACATTGTTATGAGCTTCAATTAAAGAAATTTTAGGAAAATATGCAGTACATTTAACAAAGCAGAGAAGGAGGCGGAACTATACAGCTAGGTTAGCCGTCTCATCCTCCATAAGGTACTGCGCTTTGAGAACAGGTACGCTGCAATATTCCACACAATTGTCTATCTCCTCTTGACTTTTGGTTCTATCGAAGCACTCGTATGCGCATTTGAAGTATGCTTGCTGCAAAATACCCAGATAAGCCGTACAATCATATTAACATAACGCAATCAAAGCTCCGACATCCTGATTACTTAACAATGGCTGTAAATTGGATGCGCAGAAGAAATGGAAGAAACCTGAAGGGTGAAGTGAATGTGGTCTTTCACACCGGAGAGTTGGGCCTCTGTAGCAGCGCTGATGTCATCGAGTGTTTTTCTAATCTTATCCGCTGCCATTCGCTGCTTGGCTTCTGCCAAGTGATCCATCTGCTCTGGGGCTTTGTTCGTATATCCTCCTTCTGAGAGTATTTTTTTCAAGGAAATAAATAAAGAATAATTTAGGGGTGTTTGGAAATGATTCTGCTTCTCCTTCTTCTTTTTAAAGCAGAAACAGAATAAGAATCAGTTTTTCAGAAGTTGGTACCCCTAACTTATAAAAAAACTGATTCTGAGAGTAAATTAGAGCACCAAAAGTGCTTCTGTAATTTCACTCAAACACTCCAGCTTCTGCTTCTGCTCCCTGAAGGAGCAGAATCAGTTTTGAGAATCAGATCCAAACACTCCCTTACTCTTACGGAGTACGAAGTATTTAAGAAAGAAAGAGTATTTGTACTAAGGATGTTTTTATTTGGACAAATTTGTACTAATTTGTCCCAGACCAGACCACAATAGATCAAACCAGATCAGACTTGGGTAGTTATAAAATACAAAGAAATTAGACCAGACCAGACTAGTTCAGACCAGATCAGACCAGACTAGCAAATTACAGTCCAAATAAAAACGTCCTAAAAATCACAACTTTAAATCTAATTTGTCATCAGTTTATATGTATTAATTCAGTCAATTCATTTTTTCCCTGCAATCCAGCACCGTCAATATATTCACTTGGCAAAATTTTATTTAATTGAATCCTTACTTTTATTATTATACATCATTTTTCTGTCATTCTTTTTTAATGAATAATTATGATTTAAAATATCAAACATTACGATGTAAAAATAAATCAATTTGGAGTTCAATTTTTTTTATTGCTACTTCTGATCTTTTTTTGAAAAAAAATACATGAAAAATGTAAATAAATATTTTAATCATTGAATCTTAATACCTATTAATTAATTTAAATTAACCTCATCCATTGTTGTAGACTAAAGCGGACGTCTCCCTCTCCGTAGGGTTTGGTGTATCTCGTCGTTCACGTGCGGGTTCTCCCTCTCCGTAGGGCTTGGGCATCGAGATCGAAGGAGGATGATTGCAGATGGAGATGGCTGGCATCGAGATCGAAGGAGGACGATTGCAGGGGATTGACAACCATCGAAGTGAGGCTATAACGATGGGCAAATTCCAAGAGCAGATCAGCGGTGAACAAAAGGACAAGGACGAGGCGATTGATGATGATGAAGAAGAGGCGGTCGAGTCGGAGGAAAATCGCTTTGGTGCGACAACAATCGTTGCGATGGTCCGGCCTCCTCCAGAACCACCGCCAAGGGTTGATCGACGCGTTTTGGAGTTTGCTTATTTATTTGGAAAAGTTCCTGAAATAGGACTACAACAGTTTGAAAATTCCAAAATAGGACTGACATGTTTTTTATTCCCAAAATAGGAGTAATTACTGTCAAGTTTGGAAAATACTGTCATGTTTGAATTCTGGTACTGCCAAAACATGACAGTAATTAGTCCTATTTTGGGAATAAAAACATGTCAGTCCTATTTTGGAATTTTCAAACCTTTTTAGTCTTATTTTGGGTAATATCCCTATTTATTTTTTCTGCATTTTAATTTCAACGTTAAGACGTTTGTGTTTGGTTGTTGTTTTATTTTATGTTGTAAGACTTTTGCACTTGGTTGGGGGATGAGAGGTCTGCGGTAATCGTCGTTGGCTTTAATTTGCCCAAGTTAGGTCTAGTGCCTGCTTTGCCAAAGGTGATTAACTCAGGGTCTCGGCCAAGGGCGGATGGTTACATGTGGTCCTTTCGCTATCTTTCACACCCGACTGAATGTTATTTTATCAATATAAGCATCCCTTGATAAAAAAAATCAATGAATCTTAATATTAGCATTTGGATCTCTTAAGATTTTGGGCCTAAAAATCTCACAAAAGATGAAAATCTCCCTCCGTCCCAGAAAATTCTTCCAACTTTCCTTTTTGGGACGTCCCAGAAAATTCTTCCAACTTCACCTTTTTGATTATTTGTGTGGCTCACATTCATTTCACCTTTTTCTTACACAACTACAACCACACATTTCCACTTTATTCTCACTTTCTTAAACTCCGATCCAAGTCAAACTAGGAAGAATTTTCTGGGACGGAGGGAGTAGCATTTATAAATTTTATTTACGTCATGTTGATGTCATGAAAGATAATTAAAAATTATGAATTTTGATATATTTTTTTAATAAAAATTGGATTATAAATATAAAAGTTAAATCATTTTCAAAAGAATGGGATATTTATATTTGTGGGCCCATGCTTATGGAACGTACTGCGCACGAAAGGAGGTTGCTCCAGCTGCTCTCATCTCTCCGTGAATAAGGGTTGGTTTGCAAATGCTTTAAAAAAAGCACTACATAGTTTTTGGCTAAAAAACACTTATTTTACCAAACACTACCAACTTTTATTTTTTTCGACTTTCGTGTCAAAAGTGTTTTTACTTTTTCTATTACACAAAAACACTTAAGGAGTGTTTGCTATTGCTTAAAATAAGCACTTTTCAGCTTTTAACTTAAAAAAAGCTAAAACAGTGTTTGCCAAACCTAACTTCTGATTAAAAAAAGCACTTAAAATCCAAAAGTTAGAAGCTGGGAGATGGGTGCTTCTATTTGCTTTTATCAGCTTCTTGGTATTTTTGTAAATACTCCAAACTTTGTGTATAGTTATTAGGTTAAATATTTCACTTAACCCCACTCTACCCTCCCCTCCCCTCATCCGAAGTTGCTGCAAGACCTTGCTGCCTCAGGCTCTGTTCCCCACCGTCATGCCCCATCCTCACGGAGCAAATTATACGAGTAATATATACCGTAGCAAATTGTCCGACCTGCGCACCTCTCCGATCTCCATGTTGTGCATCTTCTATTCCATGAACCCAAACCAGCTTTCCGATTTCCAACAAATTGTCCGACCTGCGCACTTCCAAATCCAGTTTTTTTTGTTTAATTTCGAGAGCAATTTTCTTGTCGTAGAGTGGAAGATGCTCTGATGGATTGGACGAGAAAGAGAAGGGACAAGCAACTTTCCTTCTTCCATTAATTTTTTATTTGAATTCTTAATGATTTGTAAAGGGTGTTTTTGTATTTTGACTATATATTACACCAATAATCACTTTTTTTATCAAACACTTCAACTTTTTACCTTTAAATTAAAATCACTTCTATTTACAAACACTACCAACTTTTACTTTTAATCACTTTCTCCAAAATCACTTTAAAAAATCACTTTTTTAAAGTTGAAGCAAACACAAACACTCTCTTATTTTACCAAACACTACCAACTTTTACTTTTCAAAATCATTTTTTTCTCAAACACTATCAACTTTATTTAATCACTTCTCCCCATTTCATTAAAAAAATCATTTTTTAAAAGCAGAAGCTGTTGCAAACAGACCATAAGGCTAATTGGAGTGGTGAGGTATTATGAGTCCAAAATGTTAAAAATGACATTTTTGGAATCCTAAATTCATGCACTAGTGGCTTGAAGAGAGTAGAAAAAATGGGTATGGGGAGGGATGAGGTTAAATTTGGAGGAATTTGGACGGTCAAAAAATAAATGTAAAAGAAATTGAAAAGGAGGAAGTGGGCGGATGCGGATGGGAGGTGTGCGCGGACGGAAAAGCACAGGTGTGGCCCGCGACAGAGATGTCGCGCAGGGATTAAAGTGAGCTGACCGACGTCATAGTATTGTCGTGATGATGTCACTAAGTGCCCACAACGGCAATAATTTAAAAACAAGATTGGTAGATCCATCGGTTGTGATGATTTTGACACTGTTTGAACGGTGAAAAAAATTGATCCAACGGTTGAAATAATTTATGTTATTTTTCAATTATTTTTAATTACTATTTTGCTCAAAAATCCTATATAAACACCCCATTCCTTCCTATTTTAATCATACATCTCCCATCTCTCTCATTCTTCATCATATTTTGTTCATTATCTATATACTGTATGTGTTATGTCTTCCTCAAGAAGGGGTGTTAATTGGAGTGTTGGTGAGGATGTTGTTCTATGCAACGCTTGGGTTACCATATCTGAACAAAGCCGTGGAGTCGGAGATTATGAAAAAACCAGCATGACTTACAGGATGCGGACCTTTCAAAGTTTTCACCGAGGAAGCAAAGTTGGATTAGGCAAAAACAAGATGAAATCATGGGGTATTTTCAAAATACTTCAAATGATGTTCCTGACACTTCCGCAGAAGAAGAAGTGTATCGTCCCCACTTCAATTTCTAGTTATATATGTATTGTTGTTTTTATTTTGTATTGTGTTGTAAGTTGAATTTCAGGTATGTTTCAATTTTAAATTCCATGTTTAGTTATTTTAATTTATTCCATGTGTTATTATTTTAATTATGTGTGCTTGTTTTAATGTTCACGTTTATTTTTATTTAAATTCCATTTATTTTAATTACCCCACGTTTATTATTTTAGATACTAAAAAGATAGAAGTAATTTACACAAACCCAAATATTTTATTAAGGCACATAAAAGTTCCATAAATACATAAAGATTTTAGGGAAAACGTAGATGGTACGAATACGAAGTTAACACTACTAAATGAAATACATGAAACACAATTGAATTGAGAAAACATATAAATATTTAAGGGAAGCATATAAACTACGTTCCATTTTCATGGTGCCTCCACAAATAGTTTTTGAGATCACTTTTAAGCGATGTGTGCATTGAGGAGTCTCAAATTCGATTGTGGCGCATCATATACCGACTCAAGGTTGGGCCATCATGGTTAAAATCCAATTCAACGATGCCAGCAAGTGAAGAATAACATCCAATGTATTATGAAAGGACACACATAGTGGAAAAAAAGAATCTAATGTCATATAACGTGATATGAAATGACATACATAATAGAAAAGAAAAACCAATGTGATATGAACAAACACAACAAGTTGATAAGGGAATCCAATGTGTATGGATAGACACACAAGTTGAGAAAAGAATTCAATGCTCCAATGTGTTTGAGCACTTCATCGATAAACGTAAAAAAATATTAATGAAATTTATTTATTTTTTACATCAAAATGTGACTTTTTTATTTTATAATTAAGCAGAGAAAAAATTAAAAAACAAACATTACTTATAATATTTTAATTAATGTTTTACTAAATTGATATGTAAAAAATGTGCAAAGTGTATTTTATTGACAGTGCTGGAATGCAGAGAAATGAGAGTCAAAACACTGTTTTGATATAACCGGAGTCTATTTTTGACATTTAGACTCTCACACCACTCCAAATGGTCTAAGGATAACAATCCCCACTCCATGGAGTGCCATACTCCCAATTTGGCTTTCTCAAATACGTGGGTTGCAGCAAATCAAGGAATGAAAATTCCAAAATTGGCTTTTGACTGTGCCGGGTGCAGTGAGCCTTATAGGCACACCAATAAAAGTCTATTTGTATGCAACCTTATTACCTTATACACATTAATGTAGTCGCTCACATCTATACTAATATAAAAAAGGAAACCAAGGACAACAACCCTTTCGCTCAAAGTAACGACCGGACACCTTTCAAAAAAAAAAACGCCTGGACAAATTGCAAAATCCGTAGTAAAATTGAATTAATACGAAGTATATGTATATATCAATGGACGTTACTTTAAACATATTTGTAACAATGGACGTGACTTTAAAATTGAAGTCATAAATATCATATGGAGTAAGATAAAGGTACGTGGCTTGCATCACGTAGACACATGATGAACCAAAATGGTTTCCATCACACGCGGTCTGCGGCATTAGCAATCCAGGAGGCAGCCTGGCATCAAACACGAAGCAGTTTCTTGGGTTGTTCTGGAAATCATGCACGTTTCCCTTTATATCCCACTCTGTTGGATAACTACGTGTTGTCTATAATTCTAACTTTGGCATCAAATTTCATTCACATACCCGTCGAAAATGAAGTTGCTATGTATGCAAGTGTAATCATTGGTCAAAATGCTTATTGCTATCACTAATTTAGTGATTGCCAAGTTGCTATAAAAAGTCTCATGTTACCATGTTATCTGACAAAATCCATAAACTTATCAGAAAGAGAAATTGCCAGCGTTCTACAATAAGAATGATATGTCTCCGTCGAATTCATTTTCCATTACTCTGAGGTACTACGTTAAATTAAATGTGAACCATAACTTTGGTCAATTGATTTTTTTTTAACTTTTTGAAGTTCTTAGTTCATTACTTATTTTTGAGTTTTTGAGTAACTTTACAAAAGTTCTTGATATTCTAACGAAAAAATTATTTTGAATATGGTGAGACAATTCATTGAAATTCACAATGGATCCATGAATTCAAGGAACTTATTAGGGAAGGCAATCTCTAAATTTTTAGGAATCTCATTGCCATGTGTGCAATATAAGAGAAAATAATTAATTGCAATCCAATATGTACCATAGTTCATTCATTTAAAGGAATTTTAAGATTATTTAGAGCACCCTCATTGTTTAGATTATTTAGAGATCAATTGGATGATGTGGATGATTTTCTTGGGATTATGATTGAAAAATGCGATTATTTAAAAAGATTATTCTCTAAAAAATCTGGTATCGAATATTGAATCTAGATTATTTGGAAATTTTTGCCTACATCTCAATTCAGTGCTGGTGGAATTCAAGAAAAAGTATTAAATGTGAAAGACAGGAAAGAGTAGCATATGCGTTAATCATGTATACAAAAGTTTACGGCGGCGGCTAAATTTACTGTTGTGGTTAATCACGTATAGGAAAGATTTCACGTAAAGATTTCTATACGTTTTTTTGAAAGATTTCTATATGTTTGTATATATAGTTTGTTTTGGTATTGTCCCATAAATAATTTGATAATTAAAGATGATGGTTGAGGGGATTTAATGAGTATTATGATTATTTCGGATTTTTTACGTGGCTGTGATGTGACAAAAAAGCTGTTTATTTAGTGAATATGAATGAAGATGCTCTTAGACTCACCTAAAAATGAGATGACATTAAGTGCACAGAACATCTATGGTTATTTATACTCATAACCCATACCAAATCAAAAGAGATTAAAATGAAAGTGTGTTATTTAGTCTGAGAATAACAAATTTAGAAGCATTTTATCCTAATGGTAATAATTAATAGATTTCAAATGCACAAATGTAATCTGACTCCAGATAATCATAGGGCATAAAGGAAAAAAACCATTAGGGGTAATTTGAACTTTTGGAATATCATAATTTGATGATACACATAGATCGATAGCCATTCAAACATGCATCGATCTTTTGGAAGTGATAATTAATCGAAGTGAACTTTAACTTTTTTAAATTTAAACTAAATCGGAAACGGATGTCAAAATATATCCAACTGAAACGTAGGCAAAAAATAAGTACCTTTCAGGCGATTACATCTAACTCATGAATGTTTTTTTTTATCATAAATGTATTCAATTCTCTTAATATAAATATATATAATATTAGTATTTAATTATTGGGTTTTTTACAAGAATATTACTAAAATAAAACATATTTACATTAATATAACTATTCATTACTACAATGTAGTGTTATGGTAATTAAAGCTCAAAACTTGAACATGAATTACTATGATTTCATTACTACTCTAGTCACTAATCATACTTTTGTAAATCATCTTTATTTTGATCATATTTATGTAATTATTTCTTAATTATTTAAAATATGAATATATTTTTGTCCCGTGCATCGCACGGGTTATATACTAGTTATACCTTATACCCAACACCCTTTTACCCAACACCCTTATATACACTAATATAGTCTCTCACATTAGTGAGTATAAAGGTCGGTACAATATAGTCCCATGAACAATGAAGTACTCCTTCCGCCCTGCAACATAGTTCTCACTTTTCTTTATGGATTATTCTAAAAAATATTCTCATTTCTCTTTTGAAAAAATTTTGTTATCTTCTATTCATTTACCTTTTCATACTCAACCACAATCATACATTTCCGCTTTATTCACACTTTCTTAAACTCCAATCAAAGTCAAATCGGGATCTATCTTGCGGGACGGAGGGAGTAGAATCAGTAGATAATAGATGAATTGGGGGAAAATAAAAAATAAAAATATCATTTACTCCCAGCAGGGTCCTAGAACATCTCATACATGGTACTCCGATTGCATATATAGAATAAAGAGGGAGAGCAACTTTCCCGGAATAAATTTCATATTTTATCTACTCCGTATAAGTTTTATGTCAATTTCACATTTAGTTCACATCTTTCCTTTTGTCCACTTTTTAGATTGAACTACTGTTTTTCCATATAAGGTCCTTACATCAATTTTTCTGGTGGTTAGAATCGCCGGGAAAAGATCATCATAGATAGTCAAGAAACATTAGTCAAGTATTAAAAGTAAATAAAATGAAATATGTGAATTAAATGTGGAATTGAAACAAAAATGTGAGTATAATATTCGATCAAATGACTTTTAAGCTTTCTAATTATGAGCTAAGACATGATTATCTATCTTAGGCTTCTTAGCTTGCATTTTCAACGGGAGAGTACGTGCATATACATGTTCTATCCCGGCAAAATGATTGGAACAAAAAATGATTATTAAAGACTTATCCTTATGCTAGTAATGTAAATGAAGAGAGTTGCAAGATTAAAAACGAGGCATATACCTGTAACCTGATTATGTTAGGCCCGTGACTTCAAAACAAAGTTAGATAGAAATTATGCTTGGGGATTAAATTTCAAAACTTAAAAGCAGTTAGAAACACAAGCCTTCTATTTTATATTCACAATTCGTAATTGTAAAATTTCAAATGCGAGCTCTTTTAATAAGAAAATAAAGTCAATATTTCACTCAATAAATACTTCACGTGCAAAACCATAAAACCTCAATTATTTGGTTGTCATACATTTCTTCCTTAATTTTTACAAGTATTTAGAAATCAAAAACACTTTGATGTGAAGAAAGTTGAGCTCATTTATGTTACTTTTTACATTTTACTTGTGTATTCTTCACCACGAAATATATACATAAAATATTAGATTGTATCTTGAAAACTTGAAAAGCCGTCAGGAGTAACTCAATAATGCCTTATACGTTTGAACATTTTTGTTTGTGCTAGTATCATACGATAGTATTAATTAAAAGAAACTCAGACCTTCAAAAGAAAAACTCAACTTTAAGATTCCACCAATTCCATTTTCACCCATACATTGCAATTTGCAGAGACACAATAACTAAACATATTCTCTAAGTATATCAGAAAAAACATCCATATACACGCACTTGTGGAACAATTTAGCCCGAAAAGTCTAAATTTGGAACACACACATATATTTGTCTCACTAAAG